CAAAACTTAAGTTCTGCCAACGTGCCTGCCACCGGGTATAGCACACATTTGAATCGTGTCCCCCGCGCTGTACTCGAACTTAAGTTGTACGCACCCCTCAAATTTCATCCACAACTCAAGTCCCATCCACAACTGAAGTCTTCACAACTTGAGTTCTATTCACACTTAAGTGCCGCCAACTTCTACTTAAGTTCTACACCTGCATCCCGATTACACACACAGTGACCTCGGCCACAAATCAACCTGCAAACACAATACAGCTCAGGTGCCGCCTCAAAGGTGATTCCTGCAGACTGCGCGCATGCGACGGCATTTGGCGCAGAATCCGACTTGGGTGCATCGATTCGCACGCTGCAGTTCCCGCCAATTGCCCCTGCCGCCTCGGAGGCCATTCACGCATGCGCAACGCCAGCGTCTAACCAGGCATCGGCGTACTCGGCACCATTTGCGTGCAGTCACATGAGAGACCCACTTGAAGGCGGGGTGGGGTGCAGGGGGGTGGAGGAAGGGATTTGGGGACAGGCACGAGGGGATAGGAAGGGAAGAGAAGGAGGTGGCGGAGACGCAACCAGCAGAATGAGACACACCAGATGTAGTAGGATGTGGAGCGCGCGTGCTCCGCATTGAGCGCAGTGTGCGAGACACGCTCAGAGGTCGCAGTGAGCACACCAAATAAACGGGATGATACAAGGTACGCACAGAATAAATGTGGTTATGAACCATTTCACCATCTACTGGATGGCATGACATCGATCTTAACTTGCCAGCTCATTGAAGGCTGGCGCTGAAGCCCAATGAATCCTAATCAATTAGAGACAACGTAGCAAGAACTCACTGGGCCTTGGTTGGTTGGTGGTTGGGGCGGCACATTTTTTGGAGGTTGTGATAACCACTAGACTACTCGCACGAGTAGTCTAGTGGTTATCACAACCTCCAACAAAATGTAGAATCCCTTACATAAGGATTTGGTTGGAAGGCCGCCGGATTGAACCCCACTAAGGGATGAATCGGTGCCAGGACAGGCACCAGCCTGAGGAGGTCAAAAGGACCTCGCGCGCTACTCCGTTGGATAACGCTAGACCAACGGGGGAATGATAAATCCCTTGTAAGGGACTCTACATTTTGTTGGAGGTTGTGATAACCACTAGACTACTTGCGCGAGTAGTCTAGTGGTTATCACAACCTCCAACAACATTCTGTGGGCGGGGGGACTGGGTGGGTGGTGGACAGAAGAGAAGTTAGAATGAGTAACGCGTGACGTTACTGAATCACAATGGTGGCCGAGATCGCCAAACACTCCACGACACATGACTTCGACTTGGCTCTAACTTCAATGAGCTCTTCGCTGTTCTCCTCAACACTTCACCCTCGCATATCCCACAATTCGTTCAGATCACTTTGTACAAGTTCAGTTGTGCTGACCTTTGACTGACCTCGGATGTCAATGACTTTCCGCCGTCCGGTGGCATTCTGGTATGCCACCCTGTTTGTGATTATAAAATTAGCAACTGACTATGCGACCCAATAGGTCCACAGTATTGTTTATCCTTGCCACAAGTATGTTTCTGTCTTGTGCACTCTGTCTTCCCTCAATATTAATATCACTAGTTATTCCAGATATTCATGCCACATTCCGGAACTCAAGTTCACGGTAGAACTGAAGATGGAGCAGAAGTCGGGAAACTTCAGTTCGGTCAAAACTTTAAGTACTTCATAAAGATATTATGTTTATATGAACTCATCTCGATTTCCTGACTGAGAGTCGAACATAAGTCATGCGCGAACTTGAGTTCACGACGCTAACTAAGATCGAGGTTTCAGCGCGGTGATATGTACAACATAGGTAGGGTACAGTAGAAGAACCACAGACTACAGTAGAAGAACTTAAGATGTAGTAAAACTTAAGTCTGAAAAGGGATGGAACCGCCCAGAACTTAAGATGAGCTAATAAAGTATTTGCTTTGTTGCAATGCATCCCACTGGGGGTGAGTGCCATGACCGTGGGTTCATGGTGTTTGATCGGCAAAGGATGAACACTTGCCATGGCGTTGGTCAGGCATTTGGCACGATTCCTTTGTTCTTTGTCAATGTGGGAGCGTGTACGGCATAATATCGGTGATCAATCGGCGATCAGTTCGACCTTGTCATTTTCAGTATTTCACATTTTCGTTCACCGTAGCTAGTGTAAAAATATGTTGTTCTTCCCATAAAATGAATCTTGAAACACCTCTGTGTCTTTCCTCATTTTTCTTGACACTGCTTGAGGTGCAGCCATTTTTGCACAGGCCCCAGGGCTCAAACCACACTTGGAGCAGATTCACCGTATGGTAGGGGGTCGGGGGAGATAGAACTTCGCAATTTTACGTTGGGTGCCCCCTGATCTGTTCTGGACTATTTCAAGGGCTACCCAGTAGTGGATAAGACAATATGTCAAATGATGGTGTCGTTCCAACCAGAACATTGTGCTTTCCCACGTTGACAAAGGAACAAAGACAGTTGTGCAATGCCTGGCTAACGCCATGGCAAGTGTCGGACCTCTGCCGATCAAATGCCATGAACCCACGGTCATGGCACTTGCCGGCAGTGTCCCATCTGCGTTCCTCCGTCCATTCCAAGAAATTCTACTCCTATTCGGATGCAGCTGCCGCGCCGCGTCTAAGCTACCTAAGTCCCCTACAGGCCTCCGCTCCCGCCTCCGAGTCTCAGGCTCCCCCGCGTCGATTCAATGTGAGTTCCGATGCACTATAGTCAAGTCAATTTCAAGTTTACGCGTTTACGCTGCTTATCCGTATCCTCGCGATGATCTGCAGACTCGGACCCGGACTCGGACTTGAGACTCCATCACGACTCGCGCAGTACAATCTCTGCACAAGCTCCTCTTTACCTGCCTTCTCGTTCCTGGCGCGGGTCCACTTCCAGGACTCGCGCGCTTCGGTATCAGTATCGGTATTGATTCCTTCGCTCGCGCAAGCCTCGGCACCGCGCAAGTACACCTTCATCCTCGCGACGCGCGCGCCGAGCACGACTTGACTTGGACTCGGACGCGAGTCGGACACGCGCACGAAAGGAAAGGGGAAGAGGGTGTATTGGGCATGGGCATGCACAGTTATGTAGTACATGTACATGCAAGTGTAAGAAATACGTGGATAGCCCGAATGCGAATGCGAAGGGGAAGGCATCCCGCGGGTGTAAGCGTACGCGACTCTGAGGCGCGCGCGCGCATCATGCGCAGGGCAAAGCAAGGCACGCAGGCATCGAATGCGGCGGTGCCACGACGATGTGCACGGAGGAAGTGTGCGGGCCTCGCGCGGGTCGCTGTGCGGGCACGCCACCGCATTCCCGCCATCGCACCAGTGGGGCGTCCTCTTTGACACGTCACCGCCGCGTCCGCCCGGACGCGGCACGCCACCTCCGCACAGCACGAGGGGAGGAGGGAGGAAGGACTGAAAGAGAGCCAAGGAGCTCGAAGAGAGAAGGAAGACAACACACCGTGTACTCCCGATATCCATCCTTGCTGGCCCCGCGTTAATCGCTCCGGGTCCCTTGGTGCTGGGATGGGCAGAGACAGGGGTGGGTGGCGGGGTGCTGTGCGCTGAGCCGTAGTTGCCGTGGTTATTCGAGGAGGAGGCGCGGCGTCCAGCCGGAGCGTAGCGCTGTGGTCGATGCGGGGCGAGTATGGCGCGGGCAAAGGAGACCTGTGCCTCGTCAGTCTCATTCAAAGAGGAAGACAGCTGCCGCACCTCGCCAAATCTCTCCACGCGTCCCCCCGCGCCTGCCGCCGCGAGTAGAATGCCCACCAGCGCCTCCGTCCAATGCAAGCGTTCCTCAATCGCATCAATGGACCCTTGGGTGGGCCGCGCTTCCTGCTGGGGCCCAGGAACCTGCCAGAACGGTGCAAAGTCGGCGTGCACGCCGTGACGAGGCACCCACGCTCGGGCGCGCGGGCGAAGGCGTAGAAGGCGTCGAAGCCGCGTGGCGGGGGACACGATGTCTTGAGGGCGTAGCGCGTGCGCGCGGCGGCGAGGGAGGGGGCTGAGCGGCGTGGGGCGCGGTGAGGGCTGCGTCTGAGTGTTCGGTGTGCACGTCGTCGGAGGGAGGGGCGGAGGGCGGGGGGTGCACGTCGTCGTCGGAGGGAGGGGGCGGCGGCAGCGGCGGGCCGTGGTCGTACTCCGCAAAGCGCTCCGGTACGGGCAGCCCCACGGTCAGCCCCGGAGGAAGACGGCGAGCGCGACGAGCGTGAGGGCCCCCGCGGCGATGAGGAGGAGGGCGCGTGGACGGCGGAGGAGCGTGCTGCTGGCTGGGGGGAGGAGCGTAAGCGCGATGGAGGTGTCCATGGGGCTGGCGGGGTGGCGGAGTGGGTGTCGGTGGAAGAAGGTGCTGGGGGGTGGGATCCGCATCAGGATCATGGCCGCGGCGAATCACCCCGCGGCGACCAATGCCCGTTTCTGGCTACTTAAGTTCATTCCACGAAAGGAATTGCGGGTGTTGCTGGCGACCACTCGACTCCACCTCGCTTGTGCTTGAATTCGCGTCGGAGCTCAGGAGAGAAAAGGCTTGGAACCAGCACCGCCACCGGCAATGGGAGTTACTACGTTTCGAACACGACCTCTCGATGCAACCAGCATTAATTCATTCGAGGCTAATTTGAGGCTCGATTCGTCTCCAGGCGCCAGCGGAACTAAATCATGACACCAGCGAAGAAAAAAAATTGGGTTAACGGAATCACCCTACACACCCTCCGGGGGATTCGAACCCCATTGATCAACGAGGGCTTTCTCTGCCTGGAATGCGATTAGAATGAATGGGATGGATTTGAGTGTGAGTGATCAACGAGGGCTTCCTCTGCCCTGACTGGGCGAAGATAAGTCACGAGGAAAATGGTTGAGAAACACAATTGAACATGCCCGCAGCCCGTATACCTATCCGTCGAGCTTCAGGTGCGGAATCGAGGTACTGTCCATTACGATTAATGTAAGGGGAAAAAAGACCGTACAAACACATGCCTTCGGGGGGAGTCGAACCCCCACCGCCCACTGATTCCGGTGCAATCGATGTAACAATCGACGTGGGCGATCTCCACTGATCAACGAGGGCTTCCCTACCTCATCACATCTTGAATTAAGAGCGCATATCTGTGAAAGAGTAGAAGAGAAGATAAAATCAGGTTCATATCGGGGGGATTTGAGCCCCCTCCGCCCACTCTAACAAGAAAAACTAATACATAATCAGATTAGGTGACCTCCATCGATCAACGAGGGCCCCACCCAATTCTCACCGGCCAAATGCAACAGACATCAGGAAAAAGATGGGAAGAACAGAAACAGAATTGAACCGCCCATAGCAGCCCTTATACCTATCCGTCGAGCTTCAAAGTGCGCAATCGAGGTACTGTCCATGAATGTATGTAGAGGAAAAAAGAATATTGGACAAGGGGTACTGTAATCGACTATGCCTTCGGGGGGGGTTCGAACCCCCTCCGCCCACTCTAACAAGAAAAGCCAACATATAATCGGTGTGGGTGACCTCCTTTGACGAAGGCATCCTCTACCCAACTCTCACCTGGCTGGATGCAACAGAGGAAAATAGGCCACGAGTAAAGAGGTAGATAAATCAGAATTGAACACGCCCGCAGCCCTTACACGAGCTTCACGGCGCGGACTCGAGGTACGGTCCATTGATGAGGGGGGGAAAAAAGGACAAACGGTAGTCGACTACGCCTTCGGTGGGATTCGAACCCCCTCTGTCCACTGCAATCCCTCCCCCGTGAAATGAGTGTGGGTGATCTCCATTGATCAACGAAGGCTTTCCCTCCCTAACTCACACCCCGAGTAAATAACATGATTATATACGAGCAAGGACCAAAAAAAAGACCTCGTCGGCTCCATGACCCTCGAGGGGAATCGAACCCCCCTCTGCCCACTGATGGTCATTCCTGCTGTATTAGTTTGTGCGGGTGATCTCCATTCATCGATGAGGGCTTCCCTACCTAGAATGTAAGCGACACACATCTCATATTTGGTTGATGGAAGGAAGCCAAAAAGTCATCACTACGCGTCCCATGCCTTCGAGGTCAGCTGCCAGCATTACATCTTGGCCAAGCGGTTGACATAGTGGTTCGACTTCCAGCGGCCACATAGACACTACGCGTCCTTTTTTTGTCTTTTCAGGCACTACTCCGAGCCGCTGAACTTGAGAGGCAGCCATTCATCCGGTCGAATTATGAGCACTATGTGATGTTGCGTTCAGTGGACTTCTGGATTCAATGCTTGACGAGTAGCATCAGGAATGTGTGTAATAAATAGTGACGAGGCAGGGATGTCCTCGATGAGAGGGTCGGAATAGAGGGAAGAAGCGGGGACGGTGGCGGTGTGGAACACGGTTGCTTTGATTTCGGCATGGTCTATCGCTTGCCGAAGTGCCGTGATCAAAGTGCCTAACTTGGAGGCCACGTTGAGCGGAAAGTGAACGACACACTGGAAATTGGGACGATTCAGAGCGTCTCAAAACGTTTCTGAAATATATAGTTTAAGTGGAAGAATGCTCAATGACTAAACTGGGCCCGAAACCAATCGTGTCAGACACCATTTCCGCCACGTTCCCGAAACTTCAGGATCAGCATCGATCCGCCCGACGATGTCGGAAAAACCAAATTTAGCTATATGAGCTGAAAGTCGTCTGATTGGCCCTTATAATAGCCTTAAAACGCGACTTTTACATGATAATGTCATTATAAGGCAATGATCAGTGTTGAGTCGATTGGTACATCTCCCGTCAAATCTTTCCGCATATGGATTTCATTTCCGCTGTTCGGCTCTCTCCTCCCAAACCTCCTCAGCGCGTATTGGCCCACGATTGACCCACCTCAGGTGAACTAGACAAGCTCCCACCATGAAACAAAGGCTTTGCACCCTGATGCTTTCAGAATACGGAAGGAGAGAGAAATAAAAGCAGAATTAAACATTGCTTGAAATAAATCGTCAATGTGCACTCCCTGGGCCGGTTCGTTTGCTTGTGAGATCGGGTGACTGCAGAAGTATCTCAGAACTCATGTGATGGAAAGTCACAAGCATAGTGAACTGCTTTCAATACTGAGAGAATGAATGAAGAAACCTCCATACTTATAGTAGAAAATCGCTTTGCCGGCCGCGAAAAATGAAGCGTTAATGAGTGTCTGTCTAGGACTCGGAGAGACTAAAAGGCGCCCCAATTTGAACCTCAGTGACATACTTTTGTACACCTAACGTACATCATTTTTTGTGGCCTCCGGATGCTGGACTCATCCGGAGCAAGGAGTTTACGATTTCCGTCTGACTTGCAGCGTAGGAACAAATTTTGAGCTATTTTTGTTGAACATATATTTGGCAGACCACCCGGCGGCAAACATCCGAATGAGGCTGTGGCTGTGCTCGGCAGACGGCGGCACCCTGCCATTTACCATTCCGAGATGATCGGAGATGTACCAATCGACTACGGACTCAATGATCAGGCCAAATAAGGTGCCAAATTTTGACAGTTTTTCCGACAGTCGAAATCGGTAAAACCCGGCGAAAGAAGTACCGATACTGATCCTGAAACCTATTGCAGTACTTGAGTAGATGAGTAGAACTCCCATCAAATCTTGCTCCTTTTGTAGGACGTCCCGCAATTCGGCTCCCGCCACTTTCGTACGCACCCAGGCCCATGGAGGCCCTCAATCAACCCTCAATACCACTTCCGACTTCAGCTAGCGCACGGAGAGTATCACCGGTTACGGTTTTGTTTTGAATGATGGCCAAACAAAACATGCATATCGAAAGGCTTGTTGTTCTGAGTGATAGACAAAAAAACATGTTTTGACTCGGTATTTGCCGGTAGCCGGGCAGCAAAGAAATTGGGCACAGATATAGGCCTTTGTATCCACAGTGGGTCATGGACAATGGTCAGCACCTGCTGATTATGCTACCGAGAGGCCCGAGGGCGTCAGGTCGAGACAGACATCACCACAAAAGAGGAAATCAGGGAGAAAGAGCCCTTTCTGGAGGGGCGCGGTTACATGTTGCGCCCGCGCTATCGACCCGGCTGGATGTCGGAGGCGCAAGGAAATCACGACAAAGTCTACAGTTCGGTAAATACACTGTCGCAGCGGAGCGGGTCCAGCAAGGGTCCAGCTCGCCACGAGCGGCAAGGCTCTGAAGGCACTGATTAACACAGCCAAATACCCCCTGTCCTACCGCAGCCCATGACGTGCAACCGAATCAGGCGAAATGGCAGTCCGAACCCATTTATTCAAGCATGAATAAATCTGGAGAGGGGGGGGGTACCCCTCTCCAGATTCAAATAAAACTAAAGTCTGAAGAGGCCCAAGGTCGCATTAAATTGAGATCTCAGTCTGATGGGGTCCTGACAGCTGCCTCGGCATCCCGGCGAAAAAATTCATTCTTCTTCAAAGCGGCTGACTCGGGCGGAAATAAAACAGAAATGACAATCTGAAGAAAGAGCGAGATCAACGCTCAAGAAAGTGTCCTGGATATCGAATCTTCCAGGATAGGATAACAGCATTATTTTGGCCCAGGAATTTCCAATAACGCGCAGACCATAGCTGCTGCTACGCACGACGAGGTCCCTCTCTTGGTTCAAATTTGAGGTTCAACTTCAACACATTGAAGAATATTTCAATGGAATACATCCGAAATATTTCAATCTGTTCCTAGAGAAGTGACAACCTTTCGTATTCAGGACTACACCTTTCCATGGTCTGCTTTGAGCTGTGCCGATTTTTTTTCATACCTGTCGTTTGCTTTGGCTCCGAAAATGGCAGCACCACCTGTCGATCAAACTTTCCGAAATGATCGCAGCTCTACTCATCTACTACAGACTCATCCTCCACTGAAACTATATATTTCAGAAACGTTTTGAGATGCTCTGAATCATCCTAACTTCCAGTGCGAGTCACCACCACCCTGTCGGCCCGTGATCCGCCTTCCCTAATGTGGATGCGTGTCACTCGGCTATTGCGCGCATCTCACCGGGTGATTGCCACATAGGGTGACCAGACGCATCGTTTGGCGGAGGCGTGGAGGACTGGATTAAGACTTTGGAAAGGCATTATGTAGAGCCCTTGCCTTCAATTTTAATGGCCACCGTGTTTTGTACAGGTCCTCAGCATGATTTGGCAGATGAATAAGGCCCGTCATGTTGTCTCACTGGCGCCGAAAATTACACATTAAGATTTCTGAGGTATGGCATATGATTTCTAAAGGGCCAGTGTAAGTTGCACAGAGTTGGAATGGAGGTGAAATCACAGGAAGTATGCAGGGCTCCGCCGAAAGAAGCCAGTAAAGGAAGGACCCTGTGGACCAGTCTAACCATATATATCCGGGACTCAGGTTTCGATGACCCTTGGGAGCAGCTGTCAAAAACTGACAGGCCGTACTTAAATCTACTCAGTGGAAGAATGGTTACTTCATCCCTCTCGCAATGTCCGAGTCTCTCCCCGACCTTAACACCACCACCGGGTACAATCTTCTCGGCGCTCCTAGCTTCCTAGTTTGATAGTTTCATTTTGACTCGCAGGGTACTTCTCATTGCGACCTGGGCAAACTCCGTGAGCACTGGATTGTATTCTACGTGTCCCGAGCACGACCTCAAGTTTGGCCCAGTTTCTGTATATGGCCGAACTCATTCAGGCCAGGTACTACTTTAGACATTTCAAGCACGACGATTGGAAGTTGAAGGTATTTCCCTCTGCCTTGAACCCAGTTTCTCCCGGGCTCCTTCTTTTAACAGACGCTGGTATCTGTCGCCTTCTTACTCGACACTGTTTCCACAGTGGGCAATTATGCCTGCACATATCTCGTAAGCGCTCACATTCTGCGTGCTACAAGCTCAGACTGAGCACCTTAACAGTACACAATAACTCATGCTAGTATGTCTCAGATTTATCAACGGCCTGAGTGACCGCCTACGATGTACATGCAGGCGATCCCGGGTACCTTGCCGACCAGCATTGGGTACGTCAAGCAGCATGAACCTCAGGCGTGGAATAATTGCAACATTCCAGCCCATCCCGCTATCCCTCCTCACCACCGCCGTGACTGCTGTCCTGGTCCAGAGCT